CGCCAGAAGGGATCCTCGCCTAGGGTGCAAAATAAGCTGGGGCCGGTTCCTACTGTATGGGAAGAGAGACCTCAGAAGTGCTGGGTATCACTAGGAATGTGGGAAGGATAGCATTTGAATTTGCCCTCCGATAGGATTTTGCATAGCTAAATCATCCCTGACTGTCTGTTCACTCCCTCATCATAAGCATCCAAAGGAAGAGCCTGCGGAACTTGCCCCAGAAACCAATTGCTTTGTTGAAAGACCGTGAACAAAGTTGCGCCTGGAGAAAATCGAGTCAAAGTTCACCACCGTAAAAGATTCGGCTTTGTGGGATCTAAAAACTCTAACATGGCATGAAAGAGCTAACCACTATAATAAAGCAGCTCTAGGTTAAGGCTATCAGAAAGAAAGCTAGATAAACTGTCATGCTAGAGGAGGAGAATTTATGTGCTCAGAATGTCAGAGGACTTGATGGCTCTCCGATGTATATCGTGCCGGCAAGATTAATATTGCTTCCGCACGAGCCTACGGGTGCTTCCAAAACTGCCCTCATTCAAATTCCTACCAGGATTTTGAACTTCTCAATCACCTGATTTTGTTTCCAAAGAGGAGACGAGGTACTGGGAATCCTCTATTGTTCTATTTCTTTTTTAAAGTCAGAATTTCATGTAGAGCGCTGTGCATGCAAAGTTTGCTATGGATTTCTCCAATCATTATTAAAAGGCATCTAAGCCAGCAGCTGTCACCAGTGAATTTCATAAGTCAGTTATGGGTCGCGTAAAGCAACTCTTTCTTAAAAAGCAGCAGGTCCTGAACTTGGAGGGGGGATAGTAAGTAAGGATTTAGCAAACAACTGTTCCCCAATTAGGAATGAGCGAAGATTCCCCATTTCCCTTTTTGTATTAACTTATATTTTTCCAATTATTCTATTTCTCCATTTTTGGCTGTTCTTGTAACTCACACAAGCATGTATTTTTAAGTAGGCAGTTCATATGCATGCCATACAGCATGTAAACATATATGTATAACGATGCTTTAATAACTGTGCACAAACACAGTTGAAAAGCATGGGAGGGGGGAATTCTGTGCCAGGAATCAGAAGATGGTACAAAAACCACAAGTTAAATTCATACAAGGGAGAAATAAACTCAGAATTGGTGTGTTTGGGGTGTGTGTGTCAGACTTGAAACGGAAGGAATAAGAAATTCAAAACCATCCCTAACCCTAATGAAGAGCTCTCTTGCAGCTCAAAATATATGGGGGACTACTAGATAGAGTAGTAGACAGAACTGCCCCCGAGGTGGAAAACAATAAACTTCGTAGCACCCTCACCAAAATACCAAAATTCCCAAGACTCTTTGGTCAGGGGAAACACAACTGAGCTCTATGAAACCTTATATGTCTCTGTTGGAGTAGATATGTAGGGACGCCAGACCGTGCCTGGCGACCAGCAGGAGTTCAGGGGTGCAGGGACATGGATGGGGGTACTGTCAGCATGACATCACTTCCGTGGAAAATCTGGAAGTGGCATCAGTCCTCTCTAGGAATCACCAGAAACTCTATGATAAAACCGAACAGTGAAAATTCTGGGGTAAAACCGATGGTGATATTTTTAATTTGGTTTGTTCTCCAGCCAGCCATCGGAGGGCAGATGGCAACCCTACAGACGTGCCTTTTCCATTTGACCATGTGCCCCTTTATCCTAGCTTAATGCAGCCAATATCGAGTCCACACTGGCTGCTGCTGGCTGCCCCTCAGGCACTCGATGCGTGACACGTAGCTTTTAGTTATATTTTAGGCCCCCTTTGCCTTGCTTCCTCTCAAAAAACATTGTTGGCATTTCCTTTGAACCTCCTTGATGGATTAGCCCTGAATAAGTAAGATCAAGTGAAAAGCTTTTCTTGCTCATACAAGACTCCCCCCCACCCCCATTCTCATCACCTACAGAGGAATGACATTGGAAGTCACCTCCTTTGACCAGCTCTTAATGCAAACTCCATTATTCCACCGCTGTCTACAAGAAAACCCTTCATGCGTCTTTTTACAACCTCCTTGCAGACACGTTTGAAGCAAGATGGTATGACTGGCCCCCATTTTCTCAGCTGGCAAACTTTATTTGGAGAGAAAGACACCCCTCAACACGATTACCCATTATATTTTCTGTGCAGGCTTCCCAGATTTGCACACCATGATCGGCAATCTCCCAACCCTGGCTCCTGGCCCCTCCTGCTACAGTGGGAACCAAAGTGTGGGGTGAGAAGCAATGCCATGTGATGTTATGGGACTGTAGGGATTCCTTGAATCTGGGTGCACAACATTGCCCCATGTGATTGGCAGGCAATATGAAGCCATCAGTTGGTGCAGAACCACTGACACCCTCCAGCCCCGATTCAGCAGGTGAACCTCAGTTGGACATTCCCACCCCACCAGTATCACCTACACCCTTAAAATGCCACAGACAGAGGCTGAGAACAGAGCCACAAACAAGATGGCAAAGTGCACGCCTCCTAGCCTGATGCCAGCTGCTTGTTGATAACAAAGATGAATAGTTGCAGGATTGCTTCTGAGCAACTGGTTGCAAGCATGACTCTTAGGCATAAAGCTATAAAGCCAGCCAAGAGACGCTGTTAGGCAGGGATGCAGCACATAGGATAGATGCTAAGCCACTGACACTGCCTTGCCTGCCTACAGGACCTCTGGCCTCGAACTGAATTACTCTACTTTGCCTAACTTCTGGCACCTGATACTCGGAGCCCTTTCTGCTCTTGCCTGATCCAGCAAGCAGCACCTTCCGGCCGGTAGCTACCATTCCAGCTTTATCTTCTGGACCCAGTAACTGACCCCCTGGACTCAGGTTTGGGGGATGCTCCAGGTCTGAATTAGTGTCCAGCTGCCTGGACTTGGTCCCAGAAAGGATTCTGGCACAAACCCTTTTCTGTCCAGGGCAACAAGGACACACCAGAGAATCCCTGTCATCTCTTCAGCTTCACAGATTTTGCTGCCAAAAGCGGACCAAGCTGACATCGCTGCAAAGCCCAATTCCCAGCGGTGTCAAGCACCAGAACTGTTCGAAGGCAAAGTTTTTGGACTACAGGGGGAAACACACACACACCCCGGTGATATCTTGCAGAGTGCCATGCTTCCCATCCAGAGGGCATCTCGCTCACTGCCCTTTTACATCTACCAAAACAGAAGATGCTGACAGAGAGCTTGGGGTGGAAAGGAAATACTATCACTCGCATCACTCAAGGGTAGTGGAATCTGTGCGAAGGAGCAGAATGAAGGTACCAGGGACTGGCTGGCTGACACGCAGGAAAAGATCAGGCGGTGGAGCCCAAAGCCGGCCGCTGATCTGAGGCAAGAGGCTGGCTCTCCTGAGGCCAATTTCACAAGCTTCATGGCACGGAGAGCTGGAGGTTGATTGACGTCGCGAGGATCCCGCAGAGACACCAGAGTTCAGGCACGGTCAACTATGGTTATGTATTTAAGCACGCACAGGCACAGAGATGCACAGCCCTTTCCTCACTGCCCCGGGTCTGTGTTCGCTGCAGCCACAGCAAACAGGGCAAGAAGCAGTCTGAATGCACCCTGTTTACCCACCCCAGTTTACAAGATATATACCACTAAATTATTGTATTTATAATTCCTCTACTCCATACAAAGCTCAGAATTCCCTGGCATACGATGCAGGTGTCTTAGATGTGCATTGATATCTCTAACTGAAGCCCTGACCTGGATAGCCCAGGCAAGCCTGATCTCGGAAGCTAAACAGTGTCGACTCCAGCAAATATTTGGTTGGGAGACCTCCTTGAAATACCAGCAGTCAGGAGGACAGGGGCAGGCTTTATTCATCCACCTCTCTGCATATCCTCCAGGTCCACAGTAGGGGTCAGTCGCCAGAGGTCACCATGACTTCCAGGTGCGCACAAATCCACACACACACACACTTACATATAAAGATACAAAAAAAAATCATTTGAGATCATTGTAAGTTTGCTACAATTTGATGGGATGGCCACTACCCTTCTTATGAGCGCACACTTGCTCCCTTTTTCAATTGTGAAACCCTGCAGGGCATCCCCATTTGCCTTAAAATTAGGAATGGCTGTGAGGGAAGAAGACCGGATGCCGAGACATCCGCAAGGCTGTGGGCAGGTGACCCGATCGTGAACAAAAAGAAGTCGTCCATTACCTTGACTAATATTTTCCCTTTCAGGCTCTCTGGGGAAGGCAGCTTCGTGGGATCCTCGTTGACAACCAAAGACAGGTCCAGCTTGTCCCCCAGGATTTCGGTCAGATACTGGGCCATCTTCTTCTGCTGGGCCACACTGCAGTGGTTCTCGATGGACAAGATGACCGGGTACCTAAGAGAGGGGAGGAAAGCGACACGAGCCCTAAATTCAAAATGCACACTCAAGGCGGCCTTTGTTCTGTCTCTCTGCTGGGCAGTGCGGTCAAGAACGTGGATCTGCAACAACAACGTACATCACAGTTAACTGCTCAGACCTGCAGAGTGACCAGCAGGGATGCCAGCCTCCAGGAGGGACTGGGGAATCCCTGGGAATTACAGCTCATCTCCAGACTAACGGGTTCAGTTCCCTGGGAGGAAGTGGATGCTTCGGAGGGTGGAACTGTCCCCCACTGAGGTCCCTGTCCTCCCCAGGCTCCACCCCCAAATCTCCAGGAGTTTCCTGGCCTAGAGCTTCCAAATCTACCCACCCCACCCCCACCGGGGGACCTGGCAACCTGGGCTACCAGCACTGAAGATGGCTTCGCTAAACAGGAAATCCATAGCCGATGCTTTTCTTTGCTATAAAAGTCAGCTCCCAGCGTCTGTCGGTAACGGGCATTTGATGCAAGTTCCTCTCCTGTCCTTTACATATCGTAAAGCCCTGATTCACACACTACATAGAACACATGTTGGTTCCAGGGTCCATACCCTGTATCGGTGTAATAGTCTCACGTGAGTGGAGGGTTTACAACTGTGGCATGGGTGCAGAAGTGCCTTATTGTTAGGTATTCTTAATTTTAAAGTAAATCAGCAGAGTATTAAAGAGGCAGAGTCCATGGTGTGTTTAAGATATAAAAGTTTACTACAACCTAGCATGGGGAAAAGGTACACGGGATGTAAAATAACAAAGAGCTTATATTCCTACATCCTTACAGCTAGACTGAACATGGCAGAAGAGACGAAGACTAACTTCTTCTTCTTGCTCAGAACAAAGAACCATAAAATGCTAATACTTGGCACTTTGGTCTCCAATCAGAACAACAAACTAGGTCTGAACTTCCCGGGCTTTCTAACTGTCTAAAACAGATTGGATACAAACAAACATGTGA